AAAAATTATACTTCATAGCCTTCAAAGTAGCGGCATCACAGTGTCATTTTACTCATTGGGCTTGTGCAGTAGACCGTTACACTAACACATCATATCGAATTGTTGACACTTAAAAGGTCAACGCCACAGATGTAGTGTTACTGCATTTAATGCTTGTAACACTTCTTGGACCACTCACATTGTTTGATCTGCTGCAAGCAACTTCTGCGTTAAGAGACATAATTCAGTCACTGATTATATGTATTCCAGATTTGTATTAATCATTTGGTGTGATTTGTATATCTACAGATGATTAAACAGTTATTCTTAATCACTTTGTATGTAGTCTATTTGTATATATTAAAATCAATAAATCTGTCCTCAACTCTGTAGCTGTTGTTTTTTGACAGAACAGTTCACTTTTATTCCTGTCATTGGTGGATGATTAATGTGTTTACTGCATGCTGCTCCAAAATAACTGCTATGTAGCATTGGTTTAACTATCAATAAACAGAAGAAAGCAGCAAAAGTAAACCTTTACTGCATCAAAAACAGATTTTGAGGATTTCTTTTATATCATAGTGTAAACAGTGCAAATCACAATTACAGTAGTTTTGCACAGACTGATAAGATCAAATGCAATCCCATGGCATTGATAGCGTCGAATAAAATGTGTCAGGAGCATGATCAGCTAACTGGTTTAAAGTCCTTTTCAGACAACAAAGTAGGGGTCAGAGCTGGCAAGGCCGCCGCTCACCTCACCTGCACTGGCTTTGTACAGTGCCTGTAAAAGAGCTCTTTACAAATTCAGTCATTTTGTAACCAGATGCTGACACTGAGATTTGTCTCTCAGAGGTGTGAATCATAAAGTCCTATTGTCGGGACATCGACTATCAACCCCACAGCGCGATTCAAACTATTTTTTCCCAGTTCCCTGCTGAGATGCAATCAGGCCTAGCATTTTCAGCCAATCCCCCTAAATCTGGACGTTGAAGGCAAGAGCCCAGTCTTAGACTGCATGGACACCTGTTTATATGAAGAAGAAGCTGTTATAATTATTATTGTCTTTTGACTTATGGCCCTGAGTATCATTTACCCTTTTCTCTTGACATTCTGGTCAGTAAACTCAGGGTTTCAACAACCACTCTGGTGATAATCCTTGAGGTCCATCACCTTTAACTAAGCTATTGCAGACCAAGGGTTTAATCTTGAGCTTGGGCCTGACTGCCTCAGTGCATTGCTTTGTGTTCAACACCACTGCCAAGGGCCAGTCTCAGATTTATTTTAAACTCTCTGGAGTTCGAGTCAGAAGGATGAAACCTTTGAGCAAAAAAATAATTTTTGTCATTTAGAGACAATCAGGTATTTAAAATACAAATCCAGATAGGCCCACAGCTACAGTATATCCTGCCAATAATTACAGACAACCAAGCCAAGATTTATCGTTGACTGTGTCACAACCAGCTCCCACAAACAGCCAGGCTTAGCAATCATAATATGTCCCATGTGCTATAAACAGACACACACAGCATATGTCTATTTTCTGTGCCATGTGTTGCTTTATTTTTCTTTATCTCCCTCATATCTCTCCCAAAAAATCCATTGGTTCTCCAAGTCTGGTTGAGCAGAGGAGTGTCCACTTTCCTTCCACTAGAGGGCGGTTTTTCCTCACAATTACCCTTTCAGAACTAACCATGCCTGCTCTGTGTCTGTGTATGGTGTGCATGGTGGAAATCGCCACTATTTCCATATTAGTGGTAAATAATATTTTACTCATTTATTACCTTTCCTCTTCCTAACTTAGTGTGCATGCATATATATATAAAAAAACTACTTCTATTTTCAAGGATTTAATTAAGTTAAATGAGTTTGATAAAAAAAAAGGTTCAGAACAATAATTGCTTATAATAAATAAATAAATAAAGATTATTATTATTAATTGAACTCACTCATATATATGGTGCATAAAGTAAATGCAAGACCACATTGCTATTTTCATGTATCCTGTTAGCCAGGAGCTCTTTTGTAAATTGGATTCGATTAGATTCAACTTTATTGTCATTATATTCTGTTTGAACAGCAGGTGGGCAAGTGGCATTACCTTTATGAACACTATATGTAACACCTAGCATGGCCATGACTCCTATATCCCAATTAGCAACTCTGTGAGAATGGCCCCTGGAAATATATGACCTTGAAAGGGGGAAAGCATTGTATGACATAAACATTAACAGACAGTTAAAGATAATTAAAAAAAAAAAAAAATAGACAACAACACATCAATCAGTATAAACAACACGTTAGCAAGCAGGGCTCTCCCACAACCACAAAAAACTACAGTATACCTATAACAAGCATTATCTGCACGAAACAAATAATCCATATATAATAATCCATAAAATTTTATTAAATATACCACTAAGGTATACTTTTATACAGTGCAACACAGATATTTACTTTTGAATGCAGATGTGAAACAAGGGGAAAGTTGTTAGAAATGACCCTTTTAAATGCATTCAAAACACACAGACAATATAATATGCATGTGATGTCCAGATACCCTGTAATTCTCTAAATTTTCACCAGATGGAGTTAAAGGACAGGAATATTGAGGACCATCCCCATCTTACCTCACATACTACCATTACACAATCCCTTCACTTTGGGAAACCAAACACGTTAAGATTTAGCTGCAATCCCAAATAATGAGTTTGCCTAATTTAAAGCTTTTCTATAGGTCACTCTAAATAAAAAAATAACACCATTTCCCATCATTGTTCAGGTGCATTTTAAAACAGCAACATTTTTAAAAACTCCATTACAGTTTTGAGTTGGAAAAGCCTACAAGACAACTTGTATATGTTACAATACAGTTTGATAAAGACCTAATTTTAATACAAAATAAGATACAAAGTAATATTATTTTGCTCATTATTCTCAGTCATATCAGCTATAGCAAGTACCTCTTGTAGTATGACAATATAGCATCATAATATTGAGAGTAACCACCAAAGGTACTAGGAAATATAATAATAATAATAATAATTTACATTTATCTGACGCTTTTATCCAAAGCAACTTACAATTGCTATATATGTCAGAGGTCGCTTGCCTCTGGAGCAACAAGGGGTTAAGTGTCTTGCTCAGGGACACAATGGGGGATTGAACACGGGTCCTGCACATCATCACCACCCATAATGATAATAATAATAACTTTACTTCATGCAAAGAAGCAGCCCAAAATGCTTAACAAAACAAGATCAGAATGACAGTAGGTTAAATAAAATCAATAATAATTAGCGATGGCAATCGAAGAATCAATCAAACAAACCACACAGAAACAGTTTAATAACACACTGAAATAAATGTTTAAATAAATTTAAAAAAGGGAATGACACCAGCAAAGTTGACATAAATTAAACACCAAGTTAAAAATGTATGTCTTTAATTTCTTTTTGAAAATACCAAGTGAGATTGCTCTAAGATCCAAGGGGAGGGCGTTCCATAGTTCACAGTACCATAAAAACAGAAAGCAGCATCAACAGATTTATTGTGGGACACATGAGGAACTTCTAAAAGAAAGGCAGTGGAAGATCTGAGAGTTCTTTTTGGAACATAACATGAGAGACATTCGCTGTAATGTAGGGTACTAGATTATTTGAGGCTTTGTAAATAAGTAATTCATTTCTAATAATATTTTGTATTATTTGTATTGGTTGAAATCCTGGCTGCAGCGTTCTGAATTATCAGCCTTGTTGTGGTTTAAAATAATCAAATTTTGGCAATGTTCCTCAGATGAAAAACAATTCTTAGATGTGTAACATGTTTTACCCAGGTCAGGCCAGTCTCTTCTTCTCCGCTTTTGGACCAACTGGTAAAATTTCTGTTTTTACTCATTCAGATATTAGTTGGTGAGACAAGTAAAATGAGCATTTAAAAAACTGGGGCTGTCTGGCAGAACAGAGAAATAAAGTTGTGTACCATCAGCATGATGGTGATATTTGACATTATGCTGAATAATGTTGCTCAGAGGGACGTATATAGGGAAAGAAAGGATAGGACCAATGGTTCCTTGAGGAACGGTCTATTTCGTGTCAAATGTCTGTAACACAAAGTCACCTAAGCTAACATCATACTCGATCTAATGGTGTTGATTATTTCTTTAAAAACTTTTGCAAATTCCTGACATTTGAGAAATGAGGCTTGATCAACAAGAGTGTTGATCGTGGAGAAGAGGACTTTGGGGCTGGAACAATCTGTGAGAAATAGGCTTTTCTTTCTTTTCAGCATTTTTATAAATTGTCATGTGAAACTCTAAGATGTCAAAGTGAATTTTTTATTTACTTTTTCTCCACTGTCTCTTGGCCCTGTGACCATTTTGTAATATGAATGACACAACATCATCAACAAAAAAACAACATCTTATTCCAATAGCATTTCCCTATTATTCCCATTTGCTAATATTTTGATTGTAACATCTGGGAATCTCCTGCTTGGTTTGTTCTGAGAATTTTCACATAAGTTCAACAATTCAAAAATAACAACATAACAATCCATCGTTGTCATGGTTTGTCAATACTGTCAATAGGTAGCATTCGCTCATTTTAAAAACTTTATTTTTGACATAGCTACACAAAGGTACTTCTAATAATGATTAACAAATACATTAATAAAATAATTTCTTTGAACCACATTTGTATAGTGGGAAATAAATTGAACTTTTCGAAGGACCTATCAATCATGAGGAATATATGTCCTAACTTCCTGGGGGAAAGTGTCTCAGAATGACTGCCTACAAGCAGTTGTATAGCCTACTTATCTCCTAAAGAATATTAAGGTTGAGGTTGCAATCATGCAATCCACCAACTCTTCTTTTTCACATTTTAAATCAATATGAAATACAAGATGCAGCACACAATGTTGAATTTAAAAAAAATAAAAATCTTTTTTTGGAAATTCTGGTGTCAGATTTATGCAGCCCCTTACCCAGCCTACACAGATGCTGCCTACGCCCCTGCAGAGCACTGCTGTCAGAGCCCTGCTCCTCCAGCAGCGGAACTGTACTGTATATGGCCTACTGCAGCTACAACTACAACGCGTGGAGGCAAGAATGACACCGGCGCTCCCCTACATCAAGACAACTTGATCGTAAGAGCGGATCTATTTCCTTTCTAGATTTAAAAATATCACAATAATGGCGCGCGTCATTGCACCTTTACGGACACGATTTATCTCGGCGGTTTTTACATTCACTGTATTGTGGGGATGTACGCTGTCCATCACTCGGTACTCTATACCGGAGGAGATGGAAGAGGGCTCCTTTGTTGCCAATCTGGCCACAGATTTGGGTCTGGATGTTCGCAGTTTGGTGCAGCGCAGTGCAAAGCTCGATGTCATTCACAGCAAAAATTACCTTGACATCAACAAAGAGACAGGGGAGCTGATTATCCGCGAGAAGATAGACCGGGAAAGCATATGCATGACTAAAACAACCTCGTGCTTTCTGAAAATGGATGTCATTCTTGAAACCCCCATTCGCATTTTTAACATCGAGTTAGAAATCATGGACATCAACGACAACGCGCCTGTGTTTCGCAGAAGGACAATGCACTTGGACGTTTCGGAGGCAACCCCTCCCGGTGAGAGATTTTCACTGACAAACGCCGTGGATGCGGACGTGGGGGCGAATTCAATCAAGACCTACTATCTCAGCGAAAGCAAATACTTCAACATCGATATACAAACTGGCAGCGATGGCTCCAAATATGTGGATTTGGTGCTCAACGGTAATTTAGACCGGGAGGAGCATGCAGTTCATAATTTGATTTTAACCGCTGTGGATGGAGGGGTGCCTCCCCGCTCCGGTACAGCCAGCATCATTATTAATGTCCTGGATATCAATGACAACGCCCCCCTGTTCAGTCAGGCGGTGTTTGCAGTCAACTTTTCAGAGAACTCGGCTGCAGGGAGCGTGGTCATGACCTTAAACGCAACAGACTTGGATGAAGGCACAAACGCTCAGTTAATATACTCATACACGCTGTACACCTCAGAGAAGACTCAGGAGCTCTTCTCGCTTGATTCAAACTCAGGTGAGATCAAGGTGAAAGGGGTGATCGATTATGAGGAGAGTCAGAGTTTTGAGATGCACATCCAGGCCCAGGACAGAGGGGCGAACCCGCTGTCGGGACACTGTAAAGTCATAGTGTACGTCACAGATCTGAACGATAACTATCCTGAGGTGACCATCAAGTCTGTGAAAAGTGCACTGACTGAGGATGTCTCTGTAGGGACCCTAATTGCAGTGGTCAGTGTCAGCGACAGGGACTCCGGGGTCAACGGGGAAGTGGAGCTCACTTTGAATCATCAAGAATCTTTGCCATTCCTCCTGAACAAATCCTCAGAGGGTTACTTTGAGCTGCTGGTTTCAAAGCCACTGGACAGAGAGTTAATAAGCAAATATGACCTCACACTGAGGGTGACAGACAAAGGCTCGCCGCCCTTATCAGAAAATGAAGCCATCACGTTAGACATTTTGGATATCAACGACAACGCACCCACATTCTCCCAGCCCTTCTACACAATCCATGTTGTGGAGAATAATCTACCAGGGGCATTATTGACGTCTCTTAGTGCGTTTGACCCAGATCTCAATGAGAACCAGTACTTAGTTTATTTCATAATGGAGAAGGAGATTGTTAACACGTCCATGTCAATGCTGTTCTCCATCAATCCTGAGAATGGTGATCTTTATGCCCTGAAGACCTTCGACTATGAGAGAGAGAGGGATTTCCTTTTCCACATCGAGGCGAGAGATTCTGGTGTTCCCCCGCTGAGCAGCAACGTGACAGTTCACATCATCGTTCTGGACCAAAACGACAACACCCCTCTCATAGTGTCACCTTGGCGGGCGCAGGGCTCTGTCGTAGAGGAGGTGATACCGAGGTCCACAGATAAGGGGCACTTGATAGCCAAAGTGATCGCTATTGATGCCGATTCTGAGCAGAACGCCAGGGTCACATACCAGCTCCTGCAGATCAGTGATGCGACCCTGTTCAGCCTGGATCAGTACAACGGTGAAATCCGGACAACGAGGATGTTCAGTTACAGAGACCCAAGACAACAGCGGCTGGTGGTCGTTGCCAAAGACAACGGTCAGCCTGCTCTCTCTGCTACTGTCACCATCAAGATATCAACAGTGGAACATGTCATGTCCTTTTCAGAGACCACAGAGTTGCCAATAGAGTATGACGTCTTCACAGACCTGAACCTGTACTTAGTAATCGGTTTAGGGGCTGTGTCATTTCTGCTATTGATAACCATTTTGGTTATTATTGTGCTGAAGTGTCAAAAACCAAAGCCAAAGGCCATCAAGATCCCCCCAGCCAACAGAAACAGTGTGATCAGCCGGAACAGCGTGATCAGCCAGAGAAGCTCCACCATCGCAGATTCCACGCTGATCTCCAGCGATGCCTACTGGTACAGTTTGTTCCTCGCAGAGACCAGGAAGGGCAAAGTGGTCGTGAGACAGCCCATAATTCCCAAAGGAGCTGGGTATTTTGTATCCAGTATACCCAGAAGCATAGGGCCAAGTGAGACCACAGACTCTAGAGCATCCACACTGGAGGTACGTAGAAATTAAATGGTAACAGGTGGAACATTTGTTCAAGTTTTTAAGGACGGCAGGCGATGGAGTTGAAAAAAGGGCAACAAACGTTGTTTAGGGTTGCTAACAGACATCACAGAGTGAATCAGAATAAGTTACTACTTGTTGTGTTCAGGGACTTTATTGTGGATGCAAGATTGTAATACTAATCAACTAGTAATAAGTAGCAGGTTAAAAGAATTGCCTTTGATACTGTATTTATGCTACAGTACCATTATTTTGTATTTCTAAATACATTTTACTTAGGTTACAGATGCAAAATAAGAGAGACAATTCTCTTGAACCATGAATCTTACATTTTCTGGTTGTTTTATTTTATTCACATTTTATTAATTATTTTTAAACAAAGACTCTTTGGGGCACTTACTGGTAAAGAGCACATCTCCAAATTGAAAGTGTTTGGCAGATGCCTGATTGGGCCCAGTTTTAACTCCCCAGTGGTGGATTTTACACAAAAACATAAGAAAAGTTTATACAATGCGTTATTAAAAGTGGATTCCAACCTTTTTGGCCAGTGACCCCTTAAAAACCAGTGCGTAGATGTATATGTGTATGTTTCAGATGTCTGGTATTTGAGAGCTGGAAGCAGTTCTACCGAAGAAGTATTTCCTCTCTAAACATCTTAGATGATTTTGTTTAAATAACTGTTTGAGACTTGAAGAGGGAAAAGTATTTTGTGATTTATCTCAACCCCTGGTTTCAGACCCACTGGACTAACCAACCCAACTGTCACAGTGGCCACTTTTTCTGTAAAACAAGTGCTTTTTTGTTTTTGATACTTTTAAGTACATTTGGCTGAATAATGCATGTTCTGAGGTAGCTTCACAGTACTTTTACTTAAGTCAAGGATCTGAGTACTCCTTCTACCACTGTCACATGTACTTTAAATTGCATTTTGGCTCAAACCAATGACCGAACAATCTATTATCATTATTATTATTTAGATTGTGTCTGGGTTTTGAGTATGAAATATCCACAGGCTGATAATACTTGTCTTACGTGATGCAAAACAAGAATGGGCGACCTGTCACTGAAGTTGATAGTGTAAAAACACACAAACACACACTCACATAAATAGGCTATAGTGTGTGTGTCATGCTGATGTTCATTATCAGTTTTCTATCTGCACTTTCATTCCATAATAAGGCCAAACAAATACACTCCAAGCACTGTTCGATGTCTTATGTAGTATGTAGGTCATTTATTGCAGATGCATAACATAATCAGAGCATAACTAGTGGGTGTAAGAGGGGGAGTACTTCAAAGAAGCCCAGACATGGAGGGCTTCTCTTCAAGGACAAGAGCTGTCGCTGTACTCAGATGTGTCATGCTGCTGGGGGTCTGTAGAATCTGCAGCAGTGCTCCTGCACACAGTAGACTGTTATCAGTGTAGAACCGCTGAAGCTAAACCAGATGTTGTTTGCTTTTGTACAGCAAGTGATCCACTGAAAGATTAAACAATATGAATATGCACAAATGCACAGGTGCATGTGGGGAGCGAGAGATTTGTGTATGATGTGTATTAATCAAGTGTGAGTTTGAGTGTCTGAGTTTCACACGTACCACTGAACTTGTCTCTTTTTTCTGTTCTTAAGTACTCAAAATGAAAGGAAGTCCATTCTACAACTGGAGGTATGCTGGTTGCTAACTACATTCTGTAGAGCCACTATATTTGTGTAGACATTATCTCTCCTTCTCTATTTGGTATACATTCTTGGTTTGGCTGAAAAAAAAAAAAAATCTTGTTAGACAAACTAAATCTTTGGTGTAATCCTTTGGTCAACAGATTGTCCTGATTAAGAATCACATATTTCCGTTTGTCCCCGGTCAGACTCTGTCCCGCACAAATACAACACTAAAACGTTCCAGTGTAATGCTATTGTGAGCACTAAAATTTAAATTGGCCAGTCTCTCAAGTGCGAAAACCTATCAGCTTACTGAGAGCTGAGATTAGCATAAAATTGGCTGCTGGTCAGACTTTTGTTGAGCACATCTGGCTAGCTTGGCGGAGTTTCAGGGCAAAGCAACGGCACAGACAGAAAAAAAGGGATTTGGGAAAGAATCACCCTGAATAGGTTCTGAGCATGTAACATACTTGTAACACTGGCCCACCAAATACCAAATAGCACACTGTGATGCCTGCTTGTGCATGCTTTAGTCACACCCTCTGCTTCCCTGTTTTAATTTTTGTTTTAGCTGTAATATGTTAGTCTGATTTCTATAGATGATTTGGTAAAAATCAATAACATTTATTTGAAAAAATACTTTGCAAAAAACCCCCACCTAAATACAGAAATTAGCCCTTAATTTAAATGTCCCCGAGACCCAATGACATGGTGGCAGTAACCAGTCACAATCCACTGTTGCATGAGTGAGGACTTTCTATAAATCTATATTGAGGTTGACTTTCTCTTTTGGCTAATTCTATGTTCTGTCTCTTAGCAGGAACCCAGGAGAGAACTGCCATGATATAATCATCTCTTCATGGGAGTCTCTGGCTGAAATTCTTTCCCGTGACTCACAACGAGGATGTAAAACAACTGTTCTCCTGCAGTCCCTCTGCTCCAACTGTTCTTTCCCTCTAGCTCCTCCAGTTCCCCCTACAAACATCAACCACTCATCGCCTCAGCTTTTCTACCATCGTTTCTCTTTAGAGCATGAATCTGCATGATTCCACCACAAGTTCAAAATCTTTGGACATAGAATTAAAATCATTTAGGGCAGGATATTTGGGCATTTCTAGAGTTGCCTCATCTAGTAAATCATTCCCTCAACGCTTTGAAACTCATCAATGGACAAATTTGCCTTCGCTTCAGGGTTTACTCTGTGAAAAAAAGTTCTCAAAAACCATCTGTAGCTCGCCATGTTCGCAAGTCGCCATCATGCAACCTTTTTTAAGCAAAAGTTCAAAACACGCCTATTCACAAATACACACATGAATCAGGGTGAATATAATTCTTCCATAAATCTGATAGATACTGAACTGTAGCTGGTTATGTCACTGATTCAGGCTTTGCACTAGTGTGTTTTGTTTTTGGAATAATAATTTCTACTGTATAATGAGTCTCGCTGTTTAGCAAGGCTCATACTGTCAACTAGTAACTTGCAGATGAAATAACCAATGATTTTAGATTTCAATGTTTTTTACAATGTTTGTTGTGACTAACAGTGGTGAATGTGTGAAAATGACAAAAAAAGAATGAAAGAAAAGAAACTGACAAAAAGGACAAAACTGACAAAAAGGACAAAACTCACAAACTACTGTAGTGTTTCTCTTTTAATTTGATTGTAGATACTGTGGTTCTATAGAAATGATTATGAGGTCAAGTGTGCAATTAAACAGCATCTGACTGGACACAGTTATCTGGCTGTATTAGGGAGACACAAATTACACAGCAATATTGAATTATTTGAACCATGATCATGTTCAGCTTCAAAATCAAGTGTGCACTGTTTCAGCCTGTCTCTTCTTGTTGGGGTGAGCGAGCGAGGGTGCATGTGTCCTCAGATCACATTTTCATTCAGAGGCACTCTGACATCACACATTTGGGTGGAGCCAGAGTGGGCAGCAATGTAAAACATTCAAACATGAGGAACCGTATTTTCCAGAACAGGGTCAAATGTCAGTTCAGCTTTCTTTGTAACAAAGTGTTCACAATTCTCACTGACTTTCCACAGGCTGATAAAGCTGGCAATTCAAATATGAACTGCATTCATTCATTGCACACAGTGCAAATCGTATTAATCAGTTAAAAAACACAATTATGTTGGAAAAAAAAATTGTAATGATAAAAACTCTGTTTATTGAAAATAGTAAGAATATTAAAATGTATTTATCTTTGCCATGGTACAAGGGAATATAAGGTCCAGGCAAGGTATGTTTTATGAATATTCATGTTTTTATAGATATTTTATGTATTAACTTTTAATGCTGCTTTTGTGAGCTTCTTTAAGGGCATTCTGTGTTGCATTTGTAGTTTAGTGCATATGATGTTGTTTTGATAGTGTACATAAGTTAAAATTGAATCTAGAGAACTTTTCTTGACCTCAAAAGGTAGCGCTGTTGCACTACTGCGAAGCCCAGGACTTTTTTCCTTCAGAAACAAGGAGCTTATTAGAACCACTTAGAACGGTGCTAAATGATCAAATGTATTTGGGTGAGCTAAGGAGGTTGGATAGTGAGAAGGAGTACATTGTATTAATTATAGTTGCAGTATTCCAGTGCTGACTCTTCGAGTCACCCCCCCCACTGCTGAGCACATAGACAGCAAAAAAAAGCATTAAGCAGAAGACAGCACTTTGAAATATGCACAGAATCTAAATGTGATCGCAGCACTCAGTCAGTAACTCAGAGATGGGAGAATATCTCTGGATGTATTGAGCTGCATTCTCTGAGTCAGTGAAATCTAACCTCCCTTTTCCACTCTCACTGTCGCCTGGTGTTGGTGTTAAACCAGATTGCTCGGACATAAACACAGCTGTCTGTCTGTCAGACTAAAGATGTCACTTAATGAGGGATCTCTTGCTGTGGAGTACATGTTATGTGTGCAAGCAATGCCTGACCTGATTTATTCCATCAGTGTTTCAAAGAATGAATAACTTGCACATAATGATGTATTGATGAGCTCCTTGCGTGCCTTCTGCATTGTAAAAGATATATGTGACTGTTGGTGAATGAAACAATGGCATGTCATACAGTATTACAAATTACAGTTACCCCAGTGATAAAATACCTTGAATTGCTAAGGCGTTGTTGGATAGGGGCTCAGCCTTTTGGTTGAGCAGACGTTCTACTGAGAACCGGTAGATGCATTTATTGTATATTGAACCGCTTTATACTTTGTGTTTTTTATACAGTAGACTTTTTGATATCTTCTGTATTCACTGTGATCAAATGGCACAGGAGGCGCTTGTGCTTGGCATAGTAAAAGTGTGTTATTTCTCATTCGTGTACACGGCTCAGTTTTTCCTCTGCTAATTCAGATTGTGCAGTATTCTTCTAGAGTTGCATCAAACCTAATCCAGTTCCATCCCACTCAGTGGATCAAACAGTATGGGAGAGAATGGTCTTGCTTTATTTTGAAGTCTAGTTAATTGTCGGATTTTGATGTTGCTTATTTGGCTTAAATATTCTGCCTGATCATTCTAGTTTGAATAAAGCTTTTTAATCTGTCTTTCTTTTGTGTCTCTGTGATGAAAAATGAAACAAAGTTATCAAAAGTGAGTTCTGAAATGTGACATCCATGCTTTCTCTCTCTCTCTCTCTCTCTCTCTCCCTCACTGAAATTCCCTTGCACACACACATTTTGACCCAGTTTCTCTGTATAACGCGCTGTACTAATTCTTGGAAATTGAAAACTAAATAAAGGAGATGTGCCTGCAGTTCAAATTGCAGAAGCAGACAAATAGTAGCTTTGTCAGGATTAGTAAAAGCCTGGAGCCAAATTGCATAGTCTGCTCTTCACTGTGACCACAGAGAGCTTTCAGTCTGCAGGACTGATGAGCAAGGGCCCCGTGAATTTGTATGATCTGAGGCAGTTCCTGTTATAATCAATTGCAGTTGCAAGTTTGCTTGTGCTGTGTACCTTAGTAATAGCCCTGCTCTAAATGGATTTATGAATGATTACTAATTATAGCTAGAAATGCAAGTGCATTTGCACATAAGTGCTAAAAACAATCTTTTTGCATTCAATATTCCGATATGTTTTCACACTCCGCTGCATTCTAGATAGGATAACAGTTAAGTGATAAATGCTATGGAGATAAAAGTGGTAATAAAGTAAATTTAGAACCTGAAATTCAAAATAGTTCATCGTATTTTGTATGGGTGGTGAAGCAATACCACTCATCTCACCAGCACTTTGCAGCACTGGCAATAATACATTAAAGGCCTTATGGTCTTCTGGTTATTTGTGCTTTAAAAGGTTTGGAAGTAGGTCGGAGAAAATAAGTAGTGCACCTGTGGCTACAATCATCTGTGCTGAGTATCGCTGTAATTCTTGCCATTAATTCACATCCCTAGTGGTCTACATTTTTGGAACTGGTGCTGTCCATGTGTGCAGCCCAGATGTGATACACTGGGGTGCAAAATAATACCTGTCTTCCTCTCTACCTATCTGTTTACCTGAAGTTAAAATTTGACTTCTCTCTCTTAAACAATTCACTCTGCGGGTGCCCTGCAAAAGGTTTTCATACACATTATTTCAGTTAATTCTCTACACAGTATCTTAGGAAAGAATAGTATGTAGGGCATCTGTGAATAATTTGTTAGGCAATTCAAATAGTATGAATGGTGTGAAATTAAATGGCGATTTGATTTTCAGGTTAAGGTTTCCTTTCACAGTCCAAACACATGCAGGTCGGCTGTACTGAAACATCCATGTGTAGGCCCTGTGATGAACTGGTGACCTATCAAATGTGTTTTGCTTAGCTCAATACACACTGGGCTGGAATCTAGTCCAACATGACCCTGAACAGAGACAGGCCGGTCTAGAAAAATCAATGAATTAACTGTGCATGTTGTTAAGATTATCTACACACACTCACTAGCCACTTTATTAGGTAGGGTTGGAGCCCCTTTTGCCTTCAGAACTGCTTTAATTCTTCGTGGCATACTTTCAACAAAGTGTTGGAAACATTCCTCAGAGACTTTGGTCCATATTGACATGATAGCATCATGCTTTTGCTGCAGATTGGCTGCACCCAACCCTAACCCTAACCTTCCTTATGCGAATCTCCTGTTCCACCACATCCCAAAGGTGCTCGTTGGATTGAGATCTGGTGACTGTGGAGGCCATTGGAGTACAGTGAACTCATTGTTATGTTCAAGAAACCAGTTTGAAATGATTTGAGCTTTGTGACATGGTGCATTATCCTGCTGGAAGTAGCCATCAGAGGATGGGTACACGGTGGTCATAAAGGGATGGACATAGTCAGCAACAATTTTCAGGTAGGCTGCTGCATTTAAACGGTGCTCAGTTGGTACTAAGGGGCCCAAACTGTGCCAAGAAAATGTCCCCCACACCATTGCACCACCACCACCAGCCTGTACCGTTGATACAAGGCAGGATGGATCCATGCTTTCATGTTGTTTACGCCAAATTCTGAACCTACCATCTGAATGCCGCAGCTAAAATCGAGACTCATCAGACCAGGCAACATTTTTCCAATCTTCTATTGTCCAATTTCGGGTGTGAATTATAGCCTCTGTTTCCTGTTGTAAGCTGACAGGAGTGGCACCTGGTGTAGTCTTCTGCTGCTGTAGCCCATCTGCTTCAAGGTTTGACGTGTTGCGTGTTCAGAGATGGTATTCTGCATACCCTTGGTTGTAACGAATGGTTATTTGAGTTACTATTGCCTTTCTTGAACTTCAGCAAGTTATCTTGACCACGTCTACATGCCTAAATGCATTGACTTGCTGCAATGTGATTGGACAGGTGTACCCAATAAAGTGGCCGGAGTGGATATACAGTATGTTAGAGGGGGAAGAGATTTTACTGAATACCAACCCTTTTTGTTAGGTGGAAACAAGAGTGTGTAGCCTTTAAGTGTACTAATGTCAATCACAGACAAAACAACAGCACATAAAAACTTTCCCCTCTCCACAGTAAAGTAGTAGTACAGGCTTTATCAGATGATGATTTGTGGTCTTGAAGAGGTATGCAATAAAGCACTCCATTATACATCATCAGTGCATTTTTGCAGTGCATTTATTTCTGCCTCCTTCACCATCAGAGAATGTTTTTTGTTTGCATAGATCCAGACTAGTAGACAGCAGCGTATTGATCTACTAAATGTGTTTCACTACTGAGTACTGTCTGTTTCACTATTGAGTACTGGATTAGACTATTAAAAATGGAGATTGTCAGAGACGGGTGCAAGCCGCTCAAGCATATTTTAACCAGATTATGTGGATTTGCTCAATCCTGTCTAGATTTGGTGAGCATTAAAGTCTATTTGAAATCAGTTTGAAGGTATCTATTTGCATTATCAGACTTTCCAGCATGAATCTTAAAACTAGTCTCGCTTTATCTCCCTTTATATTAATACATGTAATGTTGGTTTAGTCTAGTATTTGGAGGCCATTTCCCTGCTTAAGGCTGTAGACGGCAACAGTCAATTCAAGCTTTGGCATGCAGTGGCATTTTAAGCAGAAGGTGTTCTCTGGTGCCCTCTTCCTGTGCTTTCAGGCCTGGAGTATGTGATGGTTAGCAGTGTGTCACCCTGTGTGAGAA